AGGGCTCGGGGGCTACCCTGAAATGATAGTTGTTCAATCACCCCTTACCTAGGACAAAGTCTAAATGTCCAAATGAAGGGAAAATAGATTTGGACAAGATATATTTAGTTTCTACTCTTCATTTGAGTAAATTCCTCACTCAAATAAAGAGTCGAGGTCTACTACACATACATCTCCGTCAGTCCATAATTTTTGGATCTGGCAATGCTAGAACGCCTGCACGTTCACTAGGGGAAATAGCACTACAGACCGCTCGAGTTTCAACTACTCTAATCCTATGATCAATGTGAATACGGCACATAGCAACCAGAAAAAGGAAATCGCAAATATACCAGGTGGCTTAGAAGACAAGTAACGATAATGTGGCCAACATTACCAATTGTCTTTAGGAAAATTCTAGAACACGGTGTTTGATGCAAGATAAAGATTCACTCACCATCTTCATCATCATCGTCAACGGAGAAATCGAGCTTCTCAACAAAAGCTACGCCATGGGGCGGATACCATCAAGTAACTACTGAACATCATCTGCCTGACTATAGTTATAACCTTGTAATATGAGGTTTGGGTCAAAATCAGGCTGGCAACTCTTAATGACTCCCACCACGTGCTCGACAGTAGTGACCGCTCCCTCGGTCAGCTTCTCCTCGATGGTGGCCCGACATCCCTTGGTAGCCTCAAATTTCTTTTGCAACTCCTCAACTTACTGCTTCAATGTCGCATTCTCCCGCTCTAGGATATCGACATGCTTGCACAAGCCTAAAGAGAACAACAAGAAGTTAATACCTGATAAGCAACGGGCATGCTCTAGAATAACATCCAAACATACCTTTAGTACCCTCCAGGAGCTTGTATACCTCCTGCTATAGCTTAGCATTGTCTAAGTCAGACTGCTTGGCCTTCTCAAGATCTTCTTCTCAAAGATCACAAAAGCCTTGCATCTCTTGGATAAGAGCACGTAGCCGAGAAGGATTCCTCTCTAGGAATACTGCTCAGGCCTCCTGAGCCTGAGCACTGGTCGCTAAGACCAAGTCCAAAGCCTCAGGGGTTGGAGTAGCACCAGGCTCTTCAATAGCAGCCTCGGTTGGACCTTCGAGCATTTTTGCTCTCCTGTAAATAGCAACAAAGCGTCAAGGAGTTTAGGAGAAACATAATTAAAGTCATTATTCATGTGCATATGGATCAAGCAGGATTCTGCATCTCAGCTTCTTCTGCATTGATTCATCGATTTTGGCACTGGCGGGGTTATGGCTTTCTCCTAAGTACAAACCTCCCGAACACGTTCAAGGCTATCTAGATGGCTAAAAACCCCGATCAATCAGTCAAAAACATGTCTAAGCGGTACCTGATTGTTGGAGCAAGGTGGTATCTCTTGCTCAATCTCCTGAGGCATTGCAGACTGGTTTTCACTAGTCCCGGTGATTGAAGAGGGACTCTTGAACTTACCTCGGCTTCTTTTGGAAGCGGGTAGATTGAGTTCTTCTGCAGTTTCATGTGATCTGGTCTTCCTCTTTTCAACAACCTGAGGCTACTCAGGGGCTGGCCTTTTTGTAGCTGCACCCGCCTTAGCTTGTGCTTCATTGGGAACCGCCTAATGCTGCATACCCGAGCCTGCCTTGGGAGCAGACGACGTAGCTCGGGCAGTGCCGGCCTGAGTTGCCTCTCCCTCAGGGGCTGGGTTGACCGCTAGCTGCTCTAGGTTGTCATCATCATCACTGCCAATGTCCTTGCCCCTAGCAACAGGGCCCAAGGGGATAACATCTTGGCACACCATAGGTGACTAAGCACTAAGATTGTTAAATAAGCGAGTCAGTAAAGATCCTGTCTTTACCTTAGGTGGAGGATTTTCGACATTGTACAGCAGCAGTACGCCAATCCAGTCTAGCCAAGCAACAACGAGGATGTCCTTCACTCGCTGGGTGATTTCTTCATTTGATACTTCTAATACAATATAACAAAGCGGGCTTTATAAACATAAAGTCATAAACAAAACTCCCGAACATGAGGCAAACTCGAAATAAAGGTTATTACCTTCAGTCGATTCTCTATTTGGGTCTAGGATCCCTTTGTAGGTGTAGGCCATGTCCCACTGCTTCAAAGGGACTATCCTCCACTTGACAAAGGTCTCTACTACGTGTGTCGCAGTAAGCCTGGCTATCCGAAGATCCTGAATACGCGTAATATGCCTCTGCATCCTATCATTCATAAGGGGGTCGATCTCCACCTTTCGTTGGACACAGGCATCAATGACTAACCCTTGATCAGGCTCTCCTCATGGAGTTGGATGTAAAACCATTTCCTCTAATACCCTTTCCAAGAGGTCTTGATTGGGAATAGAATGTAGTCATTGCCCTTCCTTAGGGAGAAACCGACCAACCCGATGGCCAGATTCTTGGCGTAATAAGTGGCAGAATAAAAATAGCGCCACTGGTCTTAATAAGGCTTAACCCCAAGCCATGCCTCACACAAAAAGGTAAAAACACTAAGCATTGCTACCGCATTCGGTAGCAGATGAACAATCTCGATCCCATAGTGTCTACAGATCCGCTCTAGGAACTTGGACGGGAAAACCCTGAAGCCACACTTGAAAAGCACAATAAAAACCGTAGCTTGATGGGTGTTGGGGGTGGGATGATCCTCAACTTTAGTTGCAACCCACTCATAGATTTGTGGATCTAGGAGTAACCTTTGCTCCCTCAGCTTCTTCAGATCCTTCGCCTTCGTGGTAGAAGCCTTCCAATATTCGTCGGGCTGCACCACCTTGGAGGGCTAGGAAGATTGCGACTTCTCGGCGCTCGTTTGTCTAGAGAAACTCATTGAACCCTCAGATTGTTGTTGAGCAGAGGCCATGGCGGTGCGTGGAAGATGAAGAACTTGAGGGGGAAAAGAGAGCAGAAAGTGGATGCAAAAATGCAAAAAGAGGCAATAGTGGTTGCTACCGAAGCGAAATGAGGGGTTAAATGACCGTGCGCCCGCACGATTCCCAAAAAAACACTCGCCAGCCATGGTACACTCCTCGATTTACACAACCAAAATTATCTCTTGGTCAGTTTCTATTTACATTGGGTTTAAAGATATTTTCCTTCCTAACAAGAGAATGTGATTGAGATACTTCCATATATTCAAATGAGCAAACACTAAAAACCCGATCGACTCTGGGTAAGTGGAGCGACTCACTGATGAACTGAGATCATCAATTTATTTCTATGCACAAGATGTAAATGTGTCTCAGACTGCAAAAATAGACCAATGACATCTCCTTTATTCATAAACTTCGCTTAAAACGTGGATTTACAAGGGGGTTCCTAAAACCCTAACTGAATTATTTCTAGACCGAACACCAAGTTGGGCCTAAAATGAATCCTGATTCGCAAGGATGAAATCCTTGTAGGGTAGGGACAAAAGGGCCTGACCTAGGTCATCGTAACCAAGCTCAGGCGCTTGGTGCAGGACTGGGAGGCATGATGTCCTACTCTGGTGTCTCGTCGACTACCATGGTGCCCTCCTCCACCTCCTTGTAGCCTGGCACAACCTCCTCCTCGTCACTCACTAGGTCAACTAAGGCTCCATCACTAGGGATTCTAATGGCTTCCTAATTCAGCTTAATGAAGAGCTTACGGGCGAACTCCTAGTCACCGCTCGTGTTAGGCACGGCGGTGACCCGAGGAGCGGAAGGCCTGGCCTCAGAAAGACTGGCACTCATAGTAGTGACAACCAAGGGAGTCAAATCTTTTGGCTCATCAATGGAGAGCTCATCGATCCCCCACGACGGCTCGCTCGATTCTGGCTCTGTCAGGGACAGGGCGGTAATCTCCTCGGTGCTTACCAAAGTCTCCTCGTTTCCCTTCTTCACGACCACGGTCTCTTCTCGCAAAGGTGCCACGGCTGAAGACGGGGTCATAGACGGAGCTACGGGCGATGCCAGGGCTAGAGACAATGACACCAAGGGGGAAGATAGAGGTGAGGTCCTAGCAGACTGCGCAGGCGAATCCCCGATAAGCAGGTGAGGGATCTTGCTACGATGGCCGATGGTCTTGGTCCTCATGACTACAAATGTGAAGATGCTAAATAGATCTAACCCAACACTCAGACGCCTACTTATAAAGCCAAGGTCAGGGTGATTGGGAAAGTAAGCCAATCGTCGCCCACAAACCGAAGAGATGCATTAATCACAAACCACGCGTAATTCTCGGAAGTCGAGCCGGTGCGACTACTCGAGTGCCTGACAACCACCGCCTGACTTGGACAGAGACAGCGTGGACAAGACAAGATGACTCCTAAGTATGGCTTATTTTATTTTTATAGCTCATCACCCAACTATGCGACCCTATAACTTTTACATGACCAGCCTTGATTACCACCGGTGTAAGTCGGACCTTTTCAATAAAGTCCCAATTTCGAACGCCCTGAATGGTCTGAGTGCAGGAAAGTTACCAAGTTTGGCTTGCCCGATAAGCTCGGGGGCTACTAACGGTGCCATACTCCTAGGATTCCTGACTACCAGATATGCTAGCTACCGAATCCGTACCAACGAAGACCCGAAGGTTCACGACTCGCCTATTCAAGGAAGGATATCTGAAGATTATGTCAAGACTTTGACTAGGGCATGACTATGTAACTTGTAAGGCAAGTAGGCCTCGAATATAAATAGCTAGCCATCTGCTCTGTTTTAATCATCGAAACTCTCATAGGCATAGCCATCTTGTACTTGCCATCTCGCCATTCCGATGAGATCGTAATACAAACAAGTAGCAACTGGACGTACGACTTTTACTCGCTTCCCAAGGGCTAAACCAGTATAAATCTTGTGTCTCCATCGTGTTTGCTCTTTGAATCAAGTGAGTTCCGCTAAGATCCGAGTATCTGCTGGTAAAAAACATCGACGAAAACAATTTAGGTATGAAATGATGTGGGAGTCGCACATAGGTTTTTGGGACACTCTCTCCTAGGTGTGGGGGAGCCAACCGAGGGCTCTGACTCTAGAGGAGTTGTAGAGAAAAATGGTCAGTCTATCAAGACATCTTAGTGGCTGGGAAAATTCGACTTTTGGCAATGTGAAGAGAGGGCTAAAAGGGATGAAGGAGCTAGAACGGCTCCGATCGGATCCACTAAGAATGGGCCCGTCCTATGAAAAAATCAAGATTGTGGACAGATTAGTGGAGTTAAATCACCGTGAAGAAATTATGTGGAAGCAGAGATCCCGCATTAACCGGCTTGCCGAGGGTGACAAAAATACTCGCTTCTTCCACATACAGGCAACTCAGCGAAGGAGGAGAAATAAGATCTCTAGACTGAAACTTGGAGATGGTAGTTTTACTGAAGATGAGGAGGTAATGGTGTCCATGACGATGGATTTTTACAAGACTCTGTACACGGCAGAAGGGACAGCAGACACTGATGAACTCCTTCATACGGTGCTGACCAAGGTGACAGGGGCGATGAACAACATGTTGTTGAAACCGATTAGCTCTGAGGAGGTGAAGAACACGTTGTTTCAAATGTTCCCAACTAAAGCTCTGGGCCCGGATGGATTCCTAGCACACTTTTTCCAGAGACATTGGGATCTCTGTGGAGAGGAGGTCACTGCAGTGGTTCTGCGTGTCCTGAGGGGAGATGATGATCTAGCAAGGATTAATAATACGAATATTGTCCTTATCCCTAAAGTGGAGAAACCGGAAGAGCTAGGACAATTTTAGTCGATTAGCTTATGCAATGTGATATACAAGATAGCGTCTAAAATGGTGGCTAACAGATTGCGGGAGATACTGCCTGAAGTAATATATGAAGAGCAGTCAGCATTTGTGCTGGGTCAGTTGATAATGGATAATATTATTACAGCCTATGAGTGTATGCACTTTATGAAGAAGAAGTGGGCAAGGGACAACCGCTTTTGTGCCCTAAAACTAGATATGAGGAAGGCATACAATAGGCTAGATTGGGACTATCTACAGAAGGTAATGATCAGGCTTGGCTTTCTCTGTCTGTGGGTAGATATGATTATGAGACTGGTGAACTCGGTCTCTTTCTCAGTCATTCTAAATGGCAGTAAATTGGAAAGTTTCTAGTTGTCCAGGGGCATTCGTTAAGGGGATCCAATTCCTCGTATCTCTTTTTGTTAGCAGCAGAGGGCCTTTCATGCCTCTTAAAATTTTATTCTCGGTCATCAAACCTCATGGGAATTAGGGTGGCTCCATCAGCACCGATGGTGAATCACCTTCTCTTCGCAGATGACAGCCTGCTGCTTTTAAAGGCAAATAGGGAGAATGCAGAAACCATGAAGAATGCATTGGTTTTGTACTGTCGGGCTTCAGGGCAATAGATTAATTTGGAGAAGTCATCGATCCACTTTGCAAAGGGATGTAGCAATGCCACCCATGGTGAGATCAAGGCAATCCTCCAAGTTCACAATGAGGCTTTGAGTGAGAGGTATTTGGGCATGCCGATTGATGTGGGCTCATCTGTTAGTGGACCTTTCTCTTATCTCAAATACAGGGTGTCGAAGAAAGTGCAGGGGTGGATGGAGCAATGCCTTTCGACTGACGGTAAAGAGGTGTTGATCAAGGCTGTCGCCCAGGCTATTCCAACATATTCGATGTCGTGCTTTAGGCATCCAAGGGGCTTGTGGAAGCATATTGATAGCCTTCTACGTGACTTCTGGTGGGGCAACAAAGAACAAAAAAGGAAGACTTGCTAGGTCGCTTGGGATGATATGTTGATGCCAAAAGGTTTGGGTGGGCTCGGTTTCAGGAACATTGAGCTGTTCAACCTGGCCTTGCTGGCGCGCCAAGCGTGGCGCATGTTATAGGACCCAGGTTACCTCAGTGCTAGGGTACTGAAAGCAGTCTTATTTCCTATGGGCGAGTTGCTGGATACGGAGGTAGGCTCGTCTCCTTCCTGGGTTTGGAGAGCTATCATCGATGGCATTCAGGTGTTGCAACAAGGATTGTTCCGAAGGATCAGGTTAGGCCAAACAACAAAAACTTGGGAGTTACCGTGGCTTCCTAGGGATGGCATGTTGCAGCTGCTACGACCAACGAAGGATAACCCACCGCAGTGGGTCTCTGAGCTTATTGATCAATCCTCACGGAGTCGAAACAGACAACTTCTGAGGGAGTTCTTCTCGCCATTGGACTGGGAGACCATTGAAAACATCCCGCTAAGTACGATGATGTGAGATGACTTCTGGGCATGGCACTACGAGAAGAAGGGCATTTTTTTTGTTCGATCGGCTTATCGGATGCTTGTTCGGAATCGGGAAGTGATGTCAGTGTAAGGAAAATGGACAATAGGCCCATTTACTTTGGATTTTGGTGTTTGATGACCAACACAACTAAATTGGACTAAAGAATTTACATGTAATTGTTTTGTAGTTCAATAGGGTGCAAAACGTGACTTGGACGAAGGTGACGTGATGATCCGATGATCAACACCTCAAGAAAGACATATGAAGATGCATAGAAGACATACAAGGTCAAGCAAAGTCCAAGCACGAAAATTGGAACCAAGCCTGACGCAAGATCGTGAAGAAACAAGCCTGGCAAAGGTGACCGGACGCACCGGTGCTCGGCAACACCTGGCGTCGGCAGCTGTGAACGGACACTGAGCACACTACACCACAACACCAAGATTAGCGATGGACGATCTGACGCTAAAACCGGCTACAGCGACAGACAATATGAAGCTAAAAACTTACAGCGATAGACTTCTACAGACGCTATAAGTCATGTCGCTAAAAAAATTTAGCGTCAGACAGTACTTTTAGCGACAGATAATCTGTTGCCTCGAATATTTATAGCGACAGATAGTCCATTGCTACTTTTTAGCGACAGATAGTCCATTGCTACTTTTTAGCGATGGAATGTGCGATGGTACATATGGTTTTAGCGACAGGCAGTCCAACGAGCCAATTTTAAATGGTTAAAAAAATAAAAATTAATCCATCAACAATTGTCCACAATAATACAAACGTCACTACACAACTAAGATTCAACTTCAACAACATACATGCATCTTCATAAATTTGACCAAAACTTTACAACAGCTCACATAGATAAGCTCATCATCTCATCTATTTCCTCTAGAGACAATAAGAACATCCTCCAAAACATAATGATCATAAGAAGGGACAAGAATGTCTTCCCAGTTGCCATTCCTTTTAAAACATAAGATGAAACAAAGAGTTTATAAGCAACAATGACAAGTCCATGAACCAGATTGGCACAATCAGTATAAGAATCAAGAGCCTAGCCATCTAAGCTGCCATCCTTCAAGCTAGAGTGCTAGACTCCAACTAAGACATATTGGTTGAGATTTGAGAATCAATGCTAGTATTTATATATAAAAAAGGGCAAAGCACATGAAGAATACCATTTTAAATCATGCGCAAATACTTAGCAGAATTTTCTATCCACTAGCAATTGTTCTAGTAGATTAATTAGATGACAAGAAGTTCTTACATGGAACTAATGCTAAAAAACAAACAGTTTTCATACATGCTGAAAACTCAGGTTACATACTGAAACTAAAAATAGAGAATTGATAGCTGCAGCAGCTACTACATATCAATAATTCAACCATCTAGTTGGGGTTCTTATATATATCACTACTAGCTGAACCTAGTTATACCACATGAAAGAAGTAACATCCAGTTGTAGATTTCACTAAATATATGTACACTTGTATGCAATACAGAGAAGCTATCAGCTCAAGTTCAGTGTGTGTTCACCTGAGTTGAGTGCCTGCTCGCCTTCTCCCCAATCTACCTAATAAGAATGCAATTTACATACAGTGAGTTGCAATGGACAAAATGTTCAGCTAGCATAGGTGCATGTATAACTCTCAAGCATTACCATAATTCCGAAACATCACATGTATAACAGATGGTCTGATGAGGAATTTGCCAGCATTACCATAATTCGAAAACATCACATAAGAGATCAACTTTCCAACATATGAACTGCTTCTTGGGTGCAGATCATCATAGTCATAAGAGATGATATATTATGTATGTGCTCCTTGTCTGAACCTTCGAGCAGCCAAAAGAAACTTACCTTTATCTGTTAGGGCTGCCAAGAGAGCAAAATAAATTAAATATCACATGAAATTGTAGTCAAGAATTCTAGATGAAGTGTAACTTCATTGCTACAATCTCTAGAACAAGCTTATTCAGATCGATATGGCAGGGAATAAGAGATCAACTAGACTATTGTGGATTCAAGTTCCCAAGCCATAATGCCTCTACATACCATACTTGTGAGAAACTATAACCTTATTTATAGAGTGAAATAGCGAATCATACACTTGACAGGACCTAGTATTTCAACATTTTCTTGCTTTCACAGATCATAAGTTGAACTGATTATGTGAGTGGAAATGGATCATGCAGAGTTTCCAAAACTCCATTAGCATTGCAAAATCATCTACTTCACAAGCTCTACCATGAGGCTTCTTGGTTTTTTGGTCAGGTACCATTTGACCTTGCTGAGCAAGGATATAGAACAATCTTGCTTGTTTGGTTATCTTACCTAACTACCTCGAAGTTTGTGCAGGCAAGGTTTGCCTTGCCATCTGAGAGAGTCAAATTGGCTCTACTGGCTAGGCAAAGTTGTCGTACCTCGTGCTAGCTAGGTGAGGCCAGGCTAGGCAAGCCATCTAGTGAAACCAAGCACGTCCTATATATTATTATGCCAGCAAGATTGATCTCCAAAATTTATATTAGTCGTTAAGATCAAATCAAATAGATGCCGAGTAAGAATCACTGCCAATGTATTTTGAATAATTTTTCAACAATCAATGACAAGTCAAATCTTCCTACCAAACGAATAGGATTATATTTAGACAACCCTCTAAATATTGTAGGTGAGACGGCAAAGTAGATGTACGGGTCCTCATCAAATGGTATAAGAAAGCCGTAATTGATTATAAGAATAAACAAACTATATATTCACTTTCCTATTTTCTAAACAAGACTAGGTACAGATGTGCAACATCACAAGTCATATGCGAAGTAACCTCAGCAGAGGTGGCCAGCTGTATTTGCAGTTTATTGGCCCTGATGGTTATGCTTTCAATTTTATAAACATGATTTGACAAAATTATAGGATTCCATTTCAAATATCATGGGTGGATCAGGAACCTCAGGAAGTCAGTTAGCTTTTTTATTTGCTTACAGGCACTACCTATCAAATCAAAAGATATCTGAAACCCCTATTTCAATCTACCAAGTGAACTAGATCCATGATACCATGAAATCAAAAGCATGGGGAAAAGGTTGAGTTCTTTTTGTCCCTCCGGATAAAACAGTGCAGCGGTGCATCCCTTGGTCCAGGCTGTGCAAAAGAAATAATATACGCATCCATTAAATCAATATTTAGTAAACCGAAATAAAGAAGCAAGCTTTTATAGGTATTATCATATCGCTATTGGCATACCAAACAAAATCCAACTATCACATATAAACATAAATAAAGGAAGTATGTGTTTGTGCCCAACTTCTCCACTACTGTCATACTTTATTAGCACTAGCCACCAAAAATATAGTGTTATGTAGCCAAAAGAAGAGGATGGAGAATATGATGAATATGTGGCTATATTCTTCAAAGCCAAGGCCTGACCCACTAGTACAGAATGAAGGTGCATCCATGTATTGTACTCCCTAATATTGAGCAGATCGTACCTTGGAGTTGGAGCATTACCG